CTTCAGTTTTGATGCAAAAACGCATGATCGCACCGGCTCGCCTGGTGCGTTCCAGCCTTTGTTTGTGTTAACCTGCTGTTTGACGTTTGGGTTTACAGATTGGAGATTCTATTCACACTACAGCCAACGTGGAAAGCCAGTGAAATGCATCAATTTCTCAGTGATCTCTGTCCAACGGCTCGACTGCTAAATGAATTGTACATGGAATATTGTAGGCAAGCAACAGTTGATGGTGAGAAGGTGCTAGCAGGCCTAAAAGAAGCACTGCTTTGAAATTTTTCAATGTTTTACCTAGAACAGTTACAAGCTTGATGAAAAATGAATGTTTGGCTCACTGATGGTTTTTGACCAAATCAGCTGTGGAAGCAATGCATTGTTATTAAATTGTGCCATGTTTTACGTTGTTTTACTTTTTGTCTTATTTTTTGATAAAGATTTAATAACACAATTTTGAACACATCTGAACGATTTGGATTTGACGGATTGTATTCAACCAACAAAGAAAAGTCAACACAGCGTTCTTATTCAGGCAACTAGACTGTTACTGAGTGCGACTTTACCGGCACAGCTGTCAATATTTTTGTATAAATTCTCTAGAATGGACAAATATTCGGCGCCCTCGTGGCAATCGAGCAAAGATTTTGGCAGAGAGCATACTGGTTCTAAGAGCCGGAATCGACAGTTCATCAGTTTTAATGACAACGCCTAAGCATGGAATAAGACACTTGGCGGCCTAATCATTAGGACCTTTTTTCATTGGTTAGCTATTTACAGTGCTTTTTTTTTCAAAGTTTTTCGAGAAGAATAAACTGGACGTAGATTACCTCAGTTCTCATACTGAAGGTACTGTCGATGGTAGCAAAATGCGCATTTTCCGGAATTTGCCCCTCTGTGAGTGGAAAGTCTTAAATTTTAGGTAAAATTCGTGCAGTGTTGTTGACAAATATGCAGTTAGTTGGTGTCACATTGGACCTGTGGATCCTCGCGTTTTATTACTTTGACAGTGGGTATACAGACAAGAAACAAAAAATAAATTCAAAAGAACAACGCATAAATAAGTACAAGAGCAGGGCTCGTATTCTTAGGCAAGGCAATAAAGGTTTTTTCCAATCCAGCCCCTTCTTCTCTCCTCGCCCTCTTCCCCGGCCTCCCACGTTTTCTGTACTCCCTCCCTTCCCCAAAGTCTCGTATTCCTTTTCTTTTCTAACCGGACCTTTAGCAGCACTGCTGTACCGAAATGGAACTGTGAATATCTTGCTCAAACTTGTAATGTAAAAAAAGAACATTATTGAATTAATTCTTACATGGAACGAACAGTAGGCAGGAACACAATTTATATTGTATTCACAGTGCCGGAAAAAGACAAGGAAAATGGCCTAGCATAAACATCATAAATCGGACTGGACAAATTCGAATCTTTTACAACCAAACAATTTGTTTTAATAAAAAACTGGTACTTGGTTTTGTTGTTTTTTAAAAAAATCTAGAGGCCCTGGTAAGAGAACATGCCTTGCACAGATGCATACACAAGATTCAGTTCGCAATTGCAGGATAAACTAGTACACTCATGTGTTTAACTGTTGACGAATGGCGCTTGGTGATCCGGAAATGACTTTCACAGTGCTCAAGTGAAATTTTAGAGTCAGAGCAGGTATTACTTGGAATGGAAGAATTCGAAAGCTTGAAGTAATGAGAAAGG